CCAGCTTTGCTTTCTCAGAGGAAAGGGGAGCTCAAGATGACTGAAAGCGACACAAGGTCTCCCTCTTCTGGCCGATCAGCTTCTGATCTTAGACGCTGCCTTTACAATCAAACCAGGAGAGGGTTTTATGGTTCCCCCATCACCACTTCATTCTCCTTTTCACCCTCCACCCCTTGCCTCCCTAAATCGGTATGCAAAGATGCAGTATCCAAGCAGGATGAAAAACCAAGAGCCAAATGCCTGGCTCTTGGTGTTTTTTAACACATATCACAATCATGCATTATAGGGTTAACATTTTTGAAACATTAAACACACAGACGCTTAGTGGTTAAGCTTTGATTGCTAGACAAGTATAAACATCCTCTAACACTTATCTGTACCATCTTCCTTTGAAATTATTTCTATCCCATCCAATCATAATTTCCTTTATTCATTATCTGTTTCTTCAATCAGCACTTACATTAACTACACTTCACTTTTTCCTTCAGACTACTAAAATACTGACAGTTTCAAAATTTGTTTCAAAACTTATCCTGGTTTTATACTCACCTAGATTTCTTCTACACATCCACTCGTACAATAAAGCTCTTCTACACTCACACTCACACTACTTGATCAACATTGTTTCTGCCTTGAACTGCTTCTTACCATGTTGAAGTTGTCTAGGAGAGCCCTTTGGAAGATAAACCATAAAGAGCTCTCTCAGCAGTTGCTAGTATTATTAATTTCCTTTTCTTTAGTCTTTTTCCAGAGCTTTAACTAAGACTGCTGAAGGCTATCTATCTATCTAGTTTATATCTATGCCTTTGGACTTCTTTTTCCCTCACATTTTTCTATTCTTTGCTGGATATTGTCTCATTTAAGAGGCATTTCTTAGATGTGGAGAACTTGGATTACTGCACAACAAACAAAAGAAATAGATAATTGCAAGGCAAAGAGAATCTACTCGCACATCTAGTGCTCTCATCCGTTTGGACTCAGGGCAGCTCCCACCTGCATCCTGCTGCCCCACCAGCCAGCAGACACTGCCACCACCTGGGCCCCATCCCAGAGCCACCCCGGACGCAGGATCACAGAATCCCAGAATCCCGAATGACTGAAGTTGGAAGGGACCTCTAGGGATCATCCAGTCCAAACCCCTTGCTCCAGCAGGGACACCCAGAGCACAGGGCACAGGGCGGCATCCAGGCAGGTTTGGAAGATCTCCAGAGCAGGAGCCTCCACAGCCTCTCTGGGCAGCCTGTTCCAGGGCTCTGTCACCCTCACAGGAAAGCAGTTCTTCCTCACATGGAGGTGGAACTTCCTGTGTTTCAACTTGTACCCGTTACCCCTTGTCCTGTCACTGGCCACCACCGAGGAGTTTGGCCCCATCCTTCCGACATTCACAGGATCGGAGCAGAGCCAGTTGTGCCCCCACCCGTTCCAGCAGTGGGATCCCCCCAGCCCTGCTGGTGCCTGGGCTGGACCTGGCCCTCGCACCCACGGCACAGCAGGATCCGCTTCCTGCACAAGGACACAGACTGGGGCATCCCTGCGCACTGCCCCTGCACTTGTGCTGGGAAGAAAAGCTGCAGTTGGGAAGTAAATCCTCCCCATGTCTCTCCTCTCCTGCTCATGTCCTTCCTCCATATGCAGGACTCTTCTGCTTTACTCCTCCCTGCGCATCTCCACCTGGCTCCACGCTCCCTCCTTGGCTATAGCAGAAGAGCCCAACTGCCTCCATCCTCTTCCAGACCCTTCTGCCCCCAGAGGGGACACAGCCCCACCACTGGGACAGGCAGAGGCAAGGCTGCAGGAGGCACCCACATCCATATTCTTCCTGCAGTACTCCCTAGCCCTTAGTTCGTGGTTGGCTTTCCTTTTCTTTTGCTGCTGCTTGTCATTACACAAGACCTCACACCTCACCAGTCAGGGCCAGCTCAGCTTTGGGTTTGCAGTTCCATCCTCGCACACTTGATGATCTTGAAGGTCTTTTCCAGCCACAACAATTCTACGATTCTATGATTCTCTGACTGAGCAATATCTCTATATTCCTCCCCAATAGACCATCCCTGCTCCCACCTTGTACGAACCTCCTTCTCCCACCTGAGCCCCATGGCCAAACCTGCCTTCTGCCACCTTAAGAGCATCAGAACAGACCCTTCTTGTGCTTGCAGGGATTTGTCCAGCTTGTTAAAGTATTTGCTCATGTTATGGGTTAGTTAAGGTTAAAAAATACCACCTTGGTTGAAAAATCTTTATTCACATAACACATCACAACATGTCCCACCTTGCCCCTTCACGTATAAAATACTGGTATTTTTTTTTTTCCTCCAGAGATAAGCTGGCTTCTGCAGTGTCCTCTTGCATGACAACAGCTCATCCAACAGCTGGAGCACTTGCTGTTCCACAGAAGAAAACAGAAGAAACAGCAGCTCTGCTGAGAGAAACCTCGTCCTCAGCGAGGAAGGAACCTTCGTCGAGAGCGGCAGCAGCAGCGTGTGGAAAGTCACCCGGGTCCCAGCTCTTCCTCACCCGCCGGTGACAGGGATCCTGCCCCTATGTGCGTCCTTCTGTGGTGATGGGGGGTTGGAGGGTTTCGCATTAACCACCTCAGACGGCTCAGACGCTCCCGCGAGTCCCTTTGGGCTCAGCAGCTAGGACAAGTTTGCTTGAAATCACATGCAGGCAAATCCAGTCATCTAAGTGGCTCCTTCAAGGCCCGCATCCCACCTTAAAACACAGTGAATAGCAAGGACACTTGGCTTACGGAAGGGAATTAGCCCACGTAAGGACAAGGATGGTCTAAAAGGACAAAATAAATGAACAAAGAAGCATCTGTTAAAATGCCAAGCTAACCTCAAAACGCAACTCCAGCTGCAGCAATTTTGTGACACCTACTTCTAGCCAAGAAAGGAAAATAAAGTAGCTGGAGTTTTACCTTAGCATAAGACAAAGCTTGATACATAAGTCACAACTGTAAGTTGTCAAATACCATCTTCTCAAGACTAAACCATCGAACTGTAAAATCCAAGTGGAATTGGATCAGCTTATTGGGAAGAGGAAAAGGAAACTACAAGGGATGTCTTGTAGAAAGCCCAACTGATCTCACAGAAGATGATCAGACAAGTGAACAATATGCTAGAAGCCTAAGGTTTAGACCTTACCTAAATTTAGATTTAAGATTTAGATTAAAGACACAGAAGTCAGAAAATCTGCCACTGCAAGACCTCCTCTTTAATTCCCTTCTATCTCTGGCTAAATGCAAAAACGTAAACCGATTTTTTAGCTGATCTACTGGGGTGTTTTGAGAAAGCCTAAAAACTGAGGAATGTCCATTCAGAGCACAAAACGCTGCAGAAACACCATGCACTCACGCACAGCACGGGCAGGCACAGCAGACAGGACACACACGCAGCTCCCCTGCCTTCTCTGCTGAAATGTCTGGGGATTATTGAGGCAGCGAAGGCACCTCGGCCTGCAGCGACGCCGCCACCGGCGCTGCCCTTCCCCTGGGTTCAACCCACAGAGCCGCCCGGGCTGTGACACTCTACCCCATTTTGGGTAGTTCTTTCGGGTTTTTGATCTGCGCAGCAGCACGCAGGTCAGTCAACACTTCAGTTACACAGTGTAAACAAACACCGCCCCTACCTGCCCATGTTAACTGAAATTTCAGTTTTTTACATTTAATACCATTTCTCCAAGTTCGCAGCAGGCTACACAATAATCAGAGCAAAGTCTATTGCATCAAAGAAAGATAAGATACAGAACTAATAAACCGTTCCTATTTAAAAGGCCCACAACCGTTCCAGTTGGCAGGAATTCCCAGCAGAATGCCACATCATCCGAACAGGGCACAGCGGCACCTATTCCATATGGGAATGCTCCAGATTTGCGTCCGGAGATGAAGGTGGGAAGGTATCAGAAGGCTGTTTGAAATGGATGATGCCCAAAATCTCTGAATTGCCACTCCAAGGGTCCCTACAATCCGCAGAGAAAAGCGCTAATGTATTTAAACAAGTCATTCCATAGCTGTGAACATTTAAATACGAACAGACAACTTCAGGAAACTCTCTTCCCCTGTCAACTCATTTTTAATGAAAGGTTCCTTGCCCTGATCCTACCATTATTCTGAACGTAAAGAACAGCAGGGAAGTCCATTTCCAATCTTAACAGAAAAAACACAAGGCAGAATTTGAACAGATCAAGGACTTGCTCCCTTCATCTAATCTACAGATACCAGCTGCAAAGCACAAAACCCCAACCAAGTACCTCAGAGAACACATACAACTCGCACAGAACATGATCTATTGCAGGAACAACAACATCTTTATGGTCTTTGGAGGTTGGATTTGGTGCAAGACCCAGCGGGGGTGACGGCGGTGCAGGAGGCACCGTCCAGCCGCCCGACACGCAGCAGGAAACCCAGCACTCAGCTTCCCCTGGGAAGCAACCGGGCACAGAACCTGAGGAGAGCTCCCCAGTACTCCAGATGAGAGGCTTTTCTGGCAAAAACAGGAAGATTTGTGCTACATGGTTATACAAAAAAGTTAGCAGAGGTTGTTACCTTGCTTTTAAAGACCCCTCCCCTCCCAAAGCTTTCTCCCCCGCCAGAAAAAGCACATGTGGACGTGAATTCTTCACTTCTTGCCCTTTTTTGCACCCTTGCTCCACAGAAGCTGCCCACAAGCACTGAGAAAAGCTCATCAATGGCTTCCTTTCTCCATGAAATACACGGAGATCATTCTGGTCAGCACAGGAAGGGCTTGCTACCTCTCAAACTGCCTCTGCTTCCCCTCCTGCCGATCCACCCAAAAGGGCACTCATACCTTGCAATACAAGCTGGGCAAAATATTCACTTCTTCCTACTTAACCAGATTCTTAAACTTACAGACACGTAAGAATAGGAAAGGCTGTGGATTTTCATAGGGTCGTATTCTCAACTATAGAGAAGTTTGCTCCCCTATGAGCTCTCCACGTGAGATGTGAATTTGAGGGTGATTTGTAAACTCCAGAGTTCCCAGAAAGGGCTCATCGAAAGCGGCGCTCAGAGGAAGACAGGCAGCACGTTTTGGAGGGCAGTCCATTTTGCTCCAAAAGATGATCTCCTCTGGCAACAGTTCAGCAGCTCATGTCAGATACTGCACCACAAGAAACATAATTACACAAGTCAAAATCATTCCCCCAATCATGAAGTATTTATCTTGAAAGGCTCGCTTCTCAATGAGCCGCATCACGGTATTGGATAAGCCCAGCATGTTGGCAACGTCCAGGATCTTCTTGTGAGTACCCTAAAAATAAGTAAGAAAACAACGAAGACACTATTAAACTCAAGGTTTCACACTTTGCATTCCACAGTCTATGAATGTTTTCCCATGGATAGCCAGTGAGGAATTCTGATCTCTTGGTAAACAGCAGAAGTTGCTCCCAGTCAGAGATTCCCAGAATTCAGGAGGTGGCCACAGGACCCTAGAAATCAGCTGGATGAGGAGACAAAGCAGCTCACCCACCTGAGCCGGAATGAGGTTAAAATACAAAACACGCATCCAGGCAGAGTCATCATTTAGAGCAGCCCGAAGAAAACACATCCGTCAGGGAGGCACTAAGGGAGGGGGTTTGGGATCATTCCTAGATATATTTAAGAGCTTGAAGCCCCTTGAACAAAGAACCTTTCTTGCAAAAATTCCCTCCTGCTGGGTTCTAGTGCTGCTTATAGCAGAAGAGGTTGGAAAGGAGGCCCAGAAACTCGTAAGGGCAGTGGTAGGGTGCAATGAAAAGACATATTGACCGTAATTAATGCAATTCCAAAAACCTTCACGAGAATAAAAGCAAACAGACTGCTAGCAAATACGCTGCAGGGAGGAACGTGCCGTGGTGGTCTCGCTGCTGAAGCGGCTGGTATTAAGAGTTTCTCATATTAAGAACCGAACTTCACCAGCCAGCCACATCAGCAGAGACAAACTCAACTGTGGAAGCAGAAGCACCAGGGAACGGTCCAGAGGCAAAAGAACACTGTGTGGAAAGGCAGGCATGCAGACACACCCTGGACACAGGTCAGAGCTGGTTATCGTCCCATCTAGGCAGGCAGGAGACAACCTGTGGTGCACACTGCTCAGCTCCAGAGTGACCAGGCTACGGGGAGGTGACAGAGCTTATATCAAACAGTTTAGATTCACATGCACAAACAGCTCCTGATCACAACGTGAACAGTACACAGATTTGCAGTACATCAGATTATCAGCTTCTTGTAAACAAAGCAGTGCAGGTACTTACACTTTGCTGAAATCAGTTTAGGTTCTCAGCTGATAAATTGAGTTTTTCATCTTTATTTCACACACCCCGCATTAAATTCCAGCTACCCCACTTTTAAGTGTCTTTCACACTACCTCATACCAAAAATCCTATGTTGTGCTTGAAGAGAAACCCACAGGTTCTTGCTTCCATTCTAAAGTTACAACAGAAAAAATGAAGGCTCTTCAATTCTTGCAGTTAGTGGGACATTACAGCTAGAAGAGCTGAACTATGCAAGAAGCAAGACATCTGGGAATACTTGCTTTCCTGTTTGTCCTTATTTACACCCAAAATCCAAGTTAGGTATTTTACCCCACTTCCAAACTAATTCTTTCAACTGTGGAAAATAACTCTACAGTAGCTGCTGCAATCAAGTTATTGCAAACTAACTAGAACCGAGGACTATTAACTACAACAGAAAAGTATGCTGCTCCTAAGTCTCTCGGAAGCCGTAGGTCCCACCAGGGTTCCTTTATCATATTTGGCAACTATAGTTAGGGACCTGCCCTCCTGAGGAACCCTCAAAAACCAAGGGAACCAGCTGGTCATCAGAGACTAACTTGAATCGATAACTTCTGTCTTGTGGAAGCCACAACCTTAGGTTCTCACACAAAGCAGAGGTGCAGTGGAGCACCTGGACGACTGGGTGCCCCACGATAGGGTGGGCTGGGCACCAAAGGCCTCCAGCTGTAACACAGAGGAGAAACGCCCTTGTCCCACCCTTCTCAAGGGCGTAAAAACTCCAGGAAGACGCTTTTTCCTGAAGAGCATTCACAACCCCAAATCTTCTCCTGGCACCACCAGTGCATCATGTCCCACCCTTCCTCCTACCTCTACTTCAGGAGGTAGCAGAACCTCTCCTTCTACCCACTGGCCCTATGGCTAGTATACTCAGCTACGACATACTCTTAAATAAACTTTAAGTACAAAAGTAAGTCAATATATTCCTATTCAAAGTATTTCTCCTGACTTTGCATTTAAAACAAAACAAAATAAATCCCTAGGTTAGTGAGCAAATAGCTTTAAGCAAGAAGCCAAGAATCATCTCAGAGAGGAAAGCCCTGGGCTTTGACTCTGCTTCGAGGCATCACTGCAACTCTCACAGGCACAGGGACTGAGCAGCAGGCTGCAAGATGAGCAATAACCGAGTCGCCAACTTGATTTCTGCCCTTGTACCCTGTGCTGGTCCAACCCTGTATTTAGAGAAGGGCAGCTAGGCTGGACCTCTGCCATCAAGAGAGGAAATTTCCTGCTGGTGAACTGGACATTAGGATTAGAGTAAGCACATAACAACTCCACCCAGTGAAGCCACCCAGCTCCGGTCACTCCTAGGAAACAGGTACCTTAGGAGCTAAAACTTGCTTCAGGAAAAATCTTATGCACTTTAAGGGCAAGATCTGTGAAGAGTCTGTGATTCAGTTAGATGAATGTGAAGTGTCTAGGCGCCCTTTATAGTCAACAAGGAGTTTAAGGTGTGATTCATCTGACCGAGTGTTAACAATTAAACACTGATATCCTCTTGCAGGGACATCCTAAAGCAAAGACGTATCACAGAGGTAAAGTTTTTGACATCATAAGATGGATTCAGCAGATATGAAATTCCTCACACTTTCCATGGCTCCAAGCTTCCCCCACATGCACATTTCTTTCTAAAAAATTCTTCCTGTATCTTTGAGGTATTTTCTCGTAATTTAACAGCAGACTGAACAGTCTTTAAATATGCACTAAATATGCACTAAGTCAAATATGTACTGTTGCCAAGAAACAAAGAAATACAGTTTTCATTAACAATATTCAGGGAAATAGATATTGTTGAGTTGCACTGGATTTAAGAGAGTATTTTCACTACTATTAATTTTAAATAAAATTAATTTATGCCAGCTTTGTGGCTAAGTTATGTTCATCTGCATCAAGACCTGCAAGCTAGCCATTACTTCCCATTCTTCATTTGAGCGTTAAAAAAAAGCAGTCAAACAAACATAACATTCACTGTTTCATATACTGACTACAGCACAGCTGAATACTGCAAGGCTATGTGGACACAAAAGAAAAACAGCTTAAAGTTGTTCCTAATAAGATGCTAAATGTAAAGGTTTCATGTTTAGTTCAAATGGGGTTTGGGCATTTCTCAGCATTCTCAGTTTGAAGCAGTGCATTGAAACAAACTCATTCATTTTACTTAACCTGGTCATTACAAATGTAGGTATGTGGGGTCTCTGGTAGAAAAATGATGCCCCACCTTTAGTGTCACTCTCTGGTCCCTCAGGCCCTGCAGGATGTTGGTCCCACTGCCAATAAGATCATCCATGCCACGATGGGCACTCTGCAGGGATTCATTAAACTGCAGAGTTTCGTCGATCGGGATGGTGGTGTCAGAGTCCTGTGGGGGAAACGCAGCGTGTTGGTTACCTCGCCTGCGACTCACACTGCCCGCTCAGCCAGATGCAGAAAGGGAACATGCAGACATGGACGTGGCAGAAACTTGACAGGACTGGAGGAATTGCAGCTTAAACATTTTTAGTAGGGATTTTAGATACTTCTGAGCGGAAAAAAAAAAAGCTTAAAGAAGGCTACAGGAATAAAGCCTAAAGGTAGAGGTTTTTTTAAAGTTATGAGCTGTTTGATTTCTATTAGATCTCAAAGGATAAAAGTCAGAGTGAAAGTTGAGAAATAATCTCATTTTATGACACATGTAGGAAAGCGTTTTACAATAGAGAATCATTTGCCAAAACTAACACAAAGGGTTTAATAAAGATAATCATTTCAAGTGAAAGGTTTGTGAAAGATTTGGTAACACATGTTCTTAAGTAAGTGGCAGAAGACCTACAAAACAATGTCTGGGAGCTGGGATTCTAGAAACTCATATTCGCAATGGTACAAATTTCCGATAGTTCAAATGTCTTTCTGTTGTCTCCAAATTCTTTGCAGATCTGACTCGCTCCCACTCAAGGCTTTATAAATGAATTTAAAAAATCCAGCAGAGATGCACGCATTCAACTAGAGACTATAAATCTTGAAATAGAAATAACTGGATAAAACTCTACAACCAGGATTGCACAAACAGTCAGAGGATGTGATCAGTTCTGCCTTTGAAAGGTTTCCATTTTAACCTTCTCCAAACACCATTCCATCCAAAGAGTTGGGATAAGAATCAGTGAATCATGGCAAACTCCTAGACTATTTTATGAATAGGAACCATGAAGGGAATTAGTTAAGAGGTAAGTCTGGAAACACTGGCTCACTTGTTTCCATAAACTCAGAACAGCAAGGAGTACTAAAAAGTAGAATTTATGCTTAGGACACAAGCAGATTAATACCCTAGCTCTGTCAGCTGTAGTTTACATGCATTAAAAAACTTGCACAAACTAGCCTGGGATGATTACCGCCGAAAATGCTAATATAGCTCTGAGAACACTTTAAATGTTTAAACACTTTAAACACAGTGTTAGGTGTCTGCCCAACTGGCCGGGCTTTCCAGGCATTATGCTTGCTGACTGTGAAAGAACAAAGAATAAAGCGACAGGGCTGGTCGCAGTTTCGAGGTCAAAGTCACTGAAGGAGGAAGGCTCCTGCCAGTGTCAGGAAGTCTTGGATCAAGTGTTAATGAAGTGCTGAGGTTGGAATACCTCTGGTGTCTGGTCTTAAATGAGTCTGCAGATTGGAATCACTTTGATTTGCAACGGAAAGGCTATTGGAAATATTCACTGCACTTTACAACAGAAGGAATTTCATCCCTGTACAAGGAGAATGTAGGTCTTTTTATACATCATAAGATAGCAAGAAAAATGTAAGCTTCTGTGTAAGTAAGCTTTTGTGCTATTCACCGAGACCCCAGATGGACTGTATGTTTTTCATTTCATGTTAGTGGTTTACTCAAGAATGGTACAAAGGAAGCTTTAAAGATCATGTTTAGTTTTGAATTAAGTAAAAAGTTCAGAACTCTTTTACAGCCTTCAAGAGCTGATGATGATGATGATATTTATTCAGGCCACTTACTCAGCTAATATTTCTCTTTAAAAGAGCAGGGTAGCACATATCGTAGGCAAAACAGGCCGACCAATGACTGAAAAGTTAAATCATCGTTTTGATATTAGGAGGTCTTTTTACTTTTGGAGTCATATTTCTGTAACAATGAGTTAAAATAAATAGAAAGTCACACAGTTTCTTTCATTTTGAGATCGTTTTCAACATCTATCAGAGAATCTAAAGGAGAAAAACTGTATTTATATTTGGACAAATGAAAGCTGCCTGGCATCCACTGACATCAACATGTACAAAACTTATATGACAATGATGAAAATATTTTCCAGACATTTTAGAGATTCCAGGATTTAATACAGACATTTGATGCAAATTCCAGTAAAATGAACACTGTGGTACCTACCTCATTCACCCCTTTGAAACTTCTCTAAGAAATCAGGCACAGCTGCACTGGATAAAACAGGAGCAACAACTTTTGGAACAACTGCCTACCTTCCTCTACTGCCTACTAATAAACCACCTTTTCCTCAGGAAACGGTTATGCTTTTTCGAAATGCATCATTATTCTTTTCTACACTTTTTCCATCTACATCATCACAGAGCAGGAATCTAATGAAACCAAGCTTAAATCTTGCCTGAAACTTCTCTGAAAGACTGTGCTCTCTAGAACAGGTAGAGGAAGATGCTAAAGAATAAAAGAGTATTTACATTAGTAGTGAATGTCCGTGCCAGCAGCTCTTCCCGCTGCCGCTCCTGCTGCTCTCGGATGTAGCGGCGGTGCTGGAAGTTTCTCAGGGCTGTCTGCAGGTGCTGCACATCATACTTGAGCTGGTCAACTCGGCTAGACACAACCAACAACAGCAAGACATTCCCAGAGATGAACAAACCAAACTATTCTCATGTTTTGTGTGCAAGCAAAGGAAAATTATAAATTAACAGCCATGGATATTAGGACTGATGGGGCCTGGCATCTACAAAGGCATTTTGGAACTAAACAGTAATACTAGAGTAACAAAATAATGCAATTAGAAGGGGCCTGTGCCTGTCTCCTGCTCACAGCACTGCTAAGGAAAGCTTCCTATTTCATTCATCAACAGTCTGACAGAGAAAATGACACCACTGAGGTAATTTAACTCCTTACCTCCATAAATGTCATTAAAAGTATATGTCGTAAAGACTGCAACTTCTTTTAAGCATCGTGAGCCTGTGTTTTGCTCATCTTAGAACACAGCCACGAGTTTTAGTCTCATGACTGATCTGTGGTTAAATGTAGGAAAGCTATTTTGCCTCTGTACCTCAATTCTATTAATAAAAAGGACAGGGGTAAGTTATGTAAAGGTAAAAGCTTCATTAATATGGAAAAGCAAAGATTTCTATATGTTTTACTGAAAATAATTACAAAGACTATAACATTATCATAGGAAAGAGAGTGAACTTACAGTTTAGCATTCTGTCGCTTATTGGGAGGTTCTTTGCTGGACAGGATTTCCAGACGTTCCAAGTTGCTGAAGATACTGTCTATTCTTGCCTGTATCTCATTTTCTACTACTGCAAGGAAAGAAAAATGTGTTTTAGTTTGAATTAAAGAACTGCAATTAAAGAACAGAAACAAATCCTTACTGGGTAAAAAGAACAGAACCGAGAATTACGCAGAACATAAAAATCTACTTCTCTAACTGAAAAATTGGGATTTGACTACAGGATTTGAAGTCCTCACATTCTCCTTTGCAGCCCCATCCTGCAATGCTTTGACAGGACTTGCCCATACAATCTAATATCCCATTCTCACAGCACTGGCAATTTGAACCTCTAAACATCGTAACATAGAGGTAATATATATCTCATCTCTACCTATGGCAAGGGAGATTGACAGACAATGGGAAGGCTGAAGAGTTGATGGAAACAAGTGGACTGGGTAAAACCCTCAAAAAGCATGGCCAAAACATGGCTGAGGAGTTGTGTGTGGAAAACAAGGCTACAACCATTGCCTTTCTAATCATCTAATTCATAATTGCCCCTGCTATCTGTGTAACAGCAGCAGAGGGACAAGATGCAAAATGCTAAGTCTTACATGTACTTTAATGGGGTAGGAAGCAGATAAAATTGGTACAGAGCCTTGCTATACAATTAGAGTCTTGCTATACAATGGTCAAAGCGACTGAAACAATACGAAAAAATGGGTACAAACCATAATCACCTTCTTCCTTTAACAACTACATTTTCTAACCATGTCACTACCCAACATTCTGCAACTTAAAGAACTGTGTGAAAGGATAAAAGACTGAAGTACTTCTAGTCATCTGACATCCTTCGTGTGTTCAAAGAAAGCGAGCTCTGATTGTGAAGGTGTGCATCCCCTGCAGCCTGTCCACAGACTTCTTAATGCAGAACACAGCACCAGCACCATCGTGTCTGTGCAGGCAGGAGGACAATCCTAAGGTGATGCACGTCTGTGTTTGCCAGTCAGACCTGGTATAAATAATTACCAAATCCTACAGTCTTTGGTCTCTTTAAACTAGTGAGGTATACAGAAAAGTGTTATTAACAAACAGCTAATTACTACTCCTCGTTATCTCAGGACTTTACAGAACTTCATCTTCGGCAAAGGTGAAGTCCTTTACTTTGTCCTTGGATCTCACATAATCAGAGAGCAACCATCTCCCAAACACAAACACAGATCAACCAAGCTATCCCAATTCACCCCTCCATCATTCAGTACAACTAAAAGAAAAGCAAACAGGAGGCGAGACGGATAAATTACACGAGCTTTTGCTTGTCTAAGTAATAATATCATTATGTTATTAATCATAAGTTTTTCTGAGACCAGTTATGTGACAGGAAAAACTGCAACTGAAACATTGATTTTATGGCTTGAATTATTTCATGGCTTGAATTCATGGCTTATTTTCCTCCTCGTCAGCCAAAAGATTGCTTTTTCATAAATTCTTAAATATACGCTCATATATATAGCACATAGCTGTACCTTCGTATGTATATACAGAAATGGTATTCACTGCATTGCTGTGTAGGATGGTGTGTAACCCTGCATCTTAAAACGACCTCAAGTACTGAAGGAAAAATGGCACATTTTGCTAATTGGGGCTGCAAAATCAGATCCAGTCCAAGAAGCCTGGCAATTATGCTACGTGCAACAGTAGCAACCACCACAGAAAACAGAATCAGCAAACAAACCATTATTTTTTGATAGGAAAAGTTATCACAGCCTTTTCAGCAGTGAATATATTTTGGGTGACAGAAGTGATAAATACATAGATAAACGTACCCAGTCAAGGCAGTGTAGTTTTCTTTCCAAAAGAAGTTTTGTTGAACAATTCCTCATACACGATTTAAGTGTTCAAAGACATGTGACCAACACGCCAAATACACAACCCTGCACTGGGTTCAAGAGCTCTGACACAATATACACAGTATTTGATTAAAGTCATTTTATTAACACAGAATTACAGCCTAATTTTGCTGAAGTAATTTTAGACATAGCTATTCTCCCTACATCTCAGGGACTATTTCTCAGATGCAAGCACCAAATCATCTTCCTCAATTCCTGCACACCAAACCATAGGGTTTTCCCCAGAATCTGCATTTAAGCACATTCTTAGGAAGACAGTTTATTAGTGGATGTTGAAGGAATTGCAGAATAACAGGGCAGATGCACAGTGAAATTTCTCACTGTTTCCGAGCTTCCAGCAAACTGGTCTGGTGACCTTCTGGATTACCACACATATCTGCGTGTTCACTGTACTTTGTTCTCCTTACCACTCAGTCCTAGAAACTATCATCTTATTCAAGTCAAGCAGTTTTAATGAATTCAAATGAAACAATTTTAATGAATTTCAAACCTGTGATGTCTCTTGCCAGTTAATTGTACTGAATGAGAAGCCAAACTCATTCTACTAATGACAGTAAATGGAATTATAAAGCATTTAAGCATTAAAAGTTAAAGATGTGTGTAAAATCAAGCGAGTAGTGGGGTGAAACTTTTCTCTTTAATTAGCTACTTACAGTGCACTGATTGTTTGTCTGATGTCTCCAGACGCCCCATGTGAGACTGGATCTCATGGACTTGTCTATCAAGTAAAGAGGAAAGAAACAGAAGTTACTTAACATTCGTTAAATCAAAACAAATTATTTTCAATACCCCCTCAATTTTCACCTTCTCTTACAGAAAGTACTTTCCAGAACAGACTACGAATAAGCTACACGGTATTTAGTGCTAACACAATCCATCACTAATAGCATAAAAACCATGTTATGCCATACAAACCAAAAGTTGTGCTTTTGCTTAATATGCACCTGTAAAACAACTTGGAGTTTAAAAAGGCAAGAGCACAAAAATCAAAATAAAGGTAAGACTTCTATTCAAATTCTATCTCTCTTTTCATACTCACAACCTGAAGCGAGACACAATTTCGTATGTCACACATACTACAAGCCATTCAGAATCCATTTACTCCAAGACATTCCTGAAGACAAGACTTCAGATTCATGGCAGGAACTCACGAGTGGTGAGTGTAGCACACGGAAAATATGACTGGAACACAGGTTTGTACAAGAGAAACCTTAATAAACAAATCTGCACTGGAACTCTACCTACAAGCACCACTAAACTGCAGAGGAAGCAAATGACACTGCATCTTGGATATTAGGCACAGATTCTGCCCCTCCATCTCAAAAAGAACACAGAAAAACTGGAAAAGGTTCAGAGAAGGACTGTGAAAATTATGAAAGACACATAAGGGCTTTCATACAAGAAATAAAACATTTTTCAGTCCACAGAGGAAACTATGGCAGGCAGCTGTTATAGAGACCTGCAAGTGCAAAAAGGCCACGGGAAAAGGTGAGTAAGGGATGACTGTTCACTGCCTCTTCCTGTATGAGAACTACAGAGGAATCAAACAAAACTAGGAGATGGAAAGCTTAAAAGCAAAGAGAAGGTGGTGGATTTCTACAAAATACCTGTGTTTGCCCATTTCCTACTCTTTCCTGGGCATCTGCAGGTAGGAACCAGCTCGCACAGACTGTGGCCATGTGTGGGGTGAAGGCTGACAGCACTTGTGTTTCAGACTTTCAGATACACACTTCAAAAGTTACAAAAGTCTCCTGGTATTTCTCCTAAAAACATCCAGGAATCTTAGTCATGATCATACCGGGAGCTGCTTTTCTGCCACAGGCACCGTCCACAGCTTTAGCACAAAAGTTGAGCAGGTCAGGTCAGAAGAAACAACTTATCTTACAAAGAAAGCACTAAAGTGTTCATTCTCCAGAATTATGAGAATTTAGATTTTTTATTTTTAATAACTATCAGGAGTACCTTCACACAACACCCTACGCGGTATGTTATTACACATAGTTAAGTCTTTCCTGGAAGGGTTTAATTTTGATTCACTGGTGATCACTGAACACCATGGCCATAAAAACACATGACACAAACTAGTGTGTCCTAGTGCAGCCACATGTAGCCAAAGAGGGCATATTTCTTCTGGGAAAACTGAGGAACCTGGTACTCTAAAGCCTGGCGCACGGCTCTGCTCTCACACTGACGTGGCCAAAGACGAGGCCGGGACTTTGGCCGGCTGCAGGGCAGCTTGGAGAACTCGGCTCCGGCTGCGGCCAAATACAAACAGCCCCCCAGGAGATGACCAGAGCGACGCTTATTAGCAAAAAGAGGCTATGATGGCGCCGAGGGGGAAGGAAGGAGCTAAACTCCAGCGAGCCCAGGGGCCTCCAGCCGGGGCGGCCACCCGGAGCTCTGCCCCACCACGCTCTGTGCCCCGAGCCCGGCTCCCCGAGGGCATCGCGGCCGTTATAGG